TAAAAGGTAGTGAAGATTATGATATATATGCTGTTTGTTGTTGTATTGCTCCGAGTCATTTTTGATTTATGGCAACCCCAAGGTGAATTTATCATAGGGTTTTCTGGGCAAGTTTCTTCAGAGGGGGGTTTGGTTTGCCAGTTAGCCCCTGGTCTTTGTTGGCAGCCTCCCACCCAAGTGCTAACCAGGGCTGATCTTGCTTAGCTCCCAGTATCAGACAGAATCTAGTGCCTTAGACCCGTGGTGGCCACAAAGATGGCCTCAATGGACTACAAGGAGCCCATAGCCTTAGTTTTATCACCCAAGGTCTAAAATGATATACTGTATTGTCCATGCACATTTGAGTCGATCTACCAAGCATCCTTGGGTACGTATATACTGAAGAAATAACATAGTTTGACAGGTGTTGTAGCTCCATCCCATAGAATCTTGGGGTTTATAGTTTTACAAGGTCTTTAGCCTCACAAAACTAGCAATAGCAGCTTCAAAACTACAAATCCCAGGATTCCGAAGGATGGAGCCTTGGCAGTTAAAGTGGTGTCAAACAGCATTATTTCTACAGTGTAGATGCAATACATACATACATACATACATATATATATATGTATGTATGTATGTGTGTGTGTATTGCACTGAAATGCCCCCAAAATTATCTCTAGGGGTTATAGGGGGCATTTCCATCACATTTCCTCCTCCAAAATGCCTTCTACTGGCCCAATAAGGGCTCAAACATGTATCCCTTTCCCCTAAAGAGTGTTTGGGGAAAATATTTTCCCCCCTAAAAAATGTTTGGGGAGAGCAGCCCTTCGAGTTCTCCTGAAAGGCTAGTATGCTCCCCAAATCTTTCACAATTGCCCACCCCTGTTCTAGATTATGCACAGTGTTCAGGTTTTTTTAAATTGCCTTTTTGTTATCAAAGGCTTTCTCACAAATATTATTTATTTATTGAATTTATATCCCAATTCTCTCCCAAAATGGAGCTCAAGGTGGCCTCTCAATAATGTTTTAAAAGTTCAGCTTTTTAATCTAAAATAAATTCACTATGCTCTGCCAAATTCTCATATTTTGGTATACTAGGGAAAGTATTTCATGAAAGAGTAAATGTAAGGCGCCTTCCCTTCTCCCAGAATGTACTGGAGGCATATTTCTCTTCAAAGCCTTAAAGTTCTTTGGACTTTATTACACGGGGGAAATCCCGTGCAGAAACAGGGTTTTAAATCGGGGGGGGGGGGGGGGGGGGGAACGACGACGACGCAAAAGCGGGTTGATTTTCACACGAAGTTGTCGTTAAACTGTTGTTAACCCGAACGGAAAGTAGTCAAAAGCCGCTTCTTTTTACTTTCGGAAAATCCCCAAAGTAAAAAGGAGTGGCTTTTGACTATTTTCCATTCGAGTTAACAACAGTTTAACAACGTGTGTGAAAATTTACCCGCTTTTGCGAGTTTCCCCAAGCTTTTAAATCTTGTTTCTGCATGGGGTTTCCCCCGTGTGATAAAGTATATTGTTTGGCTGAGGGAAACTTGCACTCATTAGTGCAAGTCAAGCATTTGTCGTATTTGCAGTTTGCCTTCAATACCTCTTCCTTGTAATATACACTAACATCCAATAAAACAGTGATAGCTTTATTGGTCAAACAAAAATGCACACAATACATCATGCAAGCTTTATTATTAATAATAATACATTTTATTTATAGCCTGCCCCTCTGCTCGGCAATCGGGACGGGTTACAGCATTTTAAAACATACAAAGTTAAAAACATTCCCTCATCCTGGAATCCCCCACCCATCCCCTAAAACAAGATTAAACTATAGAGAAAATTAAAATGCCATAGTACAATAAAACCAACAAAACAATAAGGCAGCCATGATACTAGGAGCACTAAAACCATCTCCCCTAGAGCCAGGGGATTATTTCGGGAAGGCCTGCCGGAAGAGATCCGTCTTTACTGCTTTTGAAGTTCCACTGGTTTCTCTTTGTTGTAGTAATGGTTCCCTGTGAGTCAGTGTGGTGTAGTGTAGGACTATGGAGTTCATCACACAGGGACCATATGTACCTCCATCCCGTTAATGATTAAAGCGGCCGCAACCCGCAAAAGCATGCAATGAGAGAATTATTTTCACACACAGAACACAATAACGTGTTAGAAGCTCATTACTAAAGCAAGAAAGAGGGTAGAATGCACATTTGATTTTCACAGAGATGCGTGTAAATTCCGATAATAGTTTGGGAATCACTATTTTTGCACGCGTGCGCAAAAGAAGTAATTGCATCACCAGAAATCACCCAGTGAAATAAACACTTTTATTTACACAATTTTCTTTATAAAAATACAGTGTATTGTCCGTTACTTTCCAAGAAATGGTATTCAAC